GGGGTTGTGTGGGAAGTGGGGGTGTTTTCAGGAGTGGGAAATGGCCAGCTGTGGGGCAGGCCGGGTGCCCTGGGGTGTCTGAAAGGAGGCAGGGCGAGCTAGGGAACGGCTCCTGGGGGAAAGGAAGAGCCCTGAAGAGAAGGGCCCGGGAGGGAGGAGATGAGCTCTAGGACTGGGGTGTCTTGAAGGAAGAGTTGCATCTGAATTTGGACTGGCTCAGGGGGAGGCTGAAGCTGTCTGGGTTCAGTGAGGAAGAGGGAACGGCTCCTGGGGGAAAGGAAGAGCCCTGAAGAGAAGGGCCCGGTAGGGAGGAGATGAGCTCTAGGACTGGGGTGTCTTGAAGGAAGAGTTGCATCTGAATTTGGACTGGCTCAGGGGGAGGCTGAAGCTGTCTGGGTTCAGTGAGGAAGCGGAGCCTGCTCCTCGCAGCATGTCCAGGAGCAGTGGCTGTGGTGGTGGGGTCATTGCGGGTGGAGGCCTAAGAAATGCCATGCGGTTGGGGGAGGGAAGGGGACGTGGGGCCTGGGATTGCATGGAGGAGAGGCAGAGAGGCAGTGGCAGGGGATTTAAAAATATATATAGACACACACACGCATGCACAAGCACGCACTTTTCTTTTTAACCTGCGAATACGGTGAGGGCAAAGGCTGTTATGAAACAGCAGAGGAACTGCAGAGAGTTCATGAAGGTCAATGCTCAGCCCAGGGAGTGGTGTTGGAAGTGGGCTGGAGAAGTGCTTGAGGTGGCTTGTTGGCTCCAGCGGCTGGTTCTGGAGGGAAGAAGTGAGTTGGGGAGGGAGTGAGAGAGGTTTGTGTTTGGAGACTGCAGCTAAGAGAAATACTGAAGGACATCAGGAAGCGCCCTGGAGAGTGCTTGGGACAGTGCTACAATTCTGGAGGGGTGCTAGGGAATAGGGACGTGAATAGTAAAGGAACTGTAATTCACCCTGGGACGTGGTTGTACAGTTCATACAGGGGAACCTCCCCGAGCCTGGATGCTGTAGGAAAGTCTTAAAAGATGTCCCACAGGTTGGCTCGGTGGATCAGGCTGACGGTCTGCCCGAGGGACGAGGTAGCAGTCTGAGAGCTCCCGTTCAGGCTTTGCTGTAAGTCTGGATCTTTCTTCTAAAGTTGGGATGCTCCATCTTATCTGTCCAAAGAAAGAGACCGACTTGCACAGAGTTCCTTGGGCATCCTGAATTTTCTCTCCATTATTGAAGGGCATTTGCTAGTGAGGTCTGCACCTGAGCAGCTGCTCAGACTGGCTCAAGGGAGATGGAAGGAGAAGAACACTGACCTCTGCGAGCCTCCCTTCCTAGGAGGAGACGCTGTTGATGTGGAAGAGAAGCCCACAGTGGCTGTGCTGTGTTCCTTGCTCGTTCCAGCAGATGAAAGAGCGGAGGGCTAACTATGCAGCCTCCGCGGGAACAGATTGCGCAGGAATTAATGTCAGTTCTATAAAGGTTTTTCTGGGGGTGGTGCACTGTTGTCTAATTTACGCTTTCCAATCATGCTAGCACTACCAACCATAACAAACCTTGCCTGCGTTTGAGGAGGTGAGTGTCTGGGAGGTGAGTGAGGGTGAGAAGGCCTTTTCTATGGACCTGCAGAGGAACATGTGTTACATCTGTACTAGGGGACTGTTCCTTGTGGAGGCTCTTGGGTTAGCTTTTGGCTATGTGAGGAAATGGTCGTGGCATAAAAAGTGTAAGTTTAAGGCACAATAGTAGTTCTGGTCAGCTTCCCCGTGTAGACGAGCTTTCATTGACTGATGCTTGTGTGAACAGCGAAGCAGGCTGTGCTGCAGCTGAAACTGTGGCAGCAGGATCTCTGCGCTCTTGACCAGCCTGGACTAAGCTGCTTTTTCTGAGAAGACCACACAGCACCCTAGGTTGCATACGTTGTGGTTATAGCAGCTATTAGCTGAAAGTTCTCGTCTGCTCTAGTCGGGAAAACCAAATCAGCATCGAATGAGTCAAAGAAGAGATTGGTGGTATTGTCTGGGTCTTGACCATGTGCTTGGCTGAGTAGGCGTTGGGACAGTGGGAGAACTCACTTGCTGAAAATCAAATGTTCTCCTGACTTGCCTCTGGGTAGCTCTTTGTGGTCAGGCATGTCTCTGTCTAGATTTGTTTTCCTTAATGTTTTTTTCCTCCAGAATGCCCCTCTTCCAGTGGAAAGCCTAATCACGCAGATATCCTGCTTGTAAACTTACAGTATGTTTCAGAAGTGGAAATAATTAATGACCGCACGGAAACCCCTCCTCCTTTAGCTTCACTCAATGTTAGCAAGGTAAGAACTTACCCTTTGTGGGTTTGGAGATGCTTACTCCTGGGGAAAAGGGATTTGTGTGATGAGGTTAATGCTGTTCCTCTTAGTGGGGGTGCATTAGCTTTTAAACTTTAAATCACTTGCTGCAATCATGACTCTACATGGCCTGCTGGGGGGTTTAGATTAAGATCTTGTCAGTGTATTGAGTCTCTGTGACCTGTATGCTGGAGATCGCTTAGCGAGCGCTGGAGTTTCCGTAGTAAGGCTGCAGAATCCCTCTTTGCTTAGGGATTGTTCAGCACTGAAGCTGAGGTCCTAGGCGCGAGAGAGAGGAAACGTCTGGGGTGACATGTACGTAGCTGGACTCCAGCGTTTCACTGTGCCAAGGAAAGCTCAGGCTTTTGGGGAGTTTGGTGGCCAGGTCCTCACTGAAGCGTGCTGTGGGGCATATCAGGGTGCGTGGGGCCAAAAGAGCAGTGTTATCGGCTTCGTTTCCTCTGAGGGTTGCTGGGAGATGGATTCTTTGCAAGCCCATGGCATCCTGCGTGAGCTGTTGGATGGTGAGGGTCGACGGGCTGGATGCTCTGCTCGGCTGGGCAGTAGTTGGCCGGACAGTTGTTGCTGTCCTTGGCTACTCTGGTCACTTGTTTGTGTATCAGTTTTGTACGTGAAATCCCCTTTTATCTATATTTGTACGGTGGTACTGGCTCCAGCATCGTTTAGAGTTTCCAGCGTGGTCCTGCTGGGTAGATTTAAGTGCCTGGGTGATGCTGCATTCTCCCTTTAAAGCGCTGCAGGTTGGGAGCACAGGGCAAATGGCTTTGCCTTGCACTGTGGCTTATGCCCTCTTTGGAGGCTGTTCCACTGTGCGCTAGCTTTTTGTAGCAGGAGTAAACGTAGATCTGCGTGCTGGCAAGTGGGTGCAAGTAGCAGCTTTAAACACTGACTGTGACCAAAGATTTCTACTTTGGGACCTCTGGGATGCTTTTAGTAATGTTGAAGCTCACAGCCCCTTCTCGTCCAGGAAAAGTCCAGCGGTCTTGATCCTCCCGGCTCCCGCTGAAGTCCCAATGCCTTTGGCAGAGCGACGTGCCAGTTTGCTAGCAGGAGGGTGGGAAGGCCGACACGTTGTGCTCCCCTGCTCTGATGGGATGCTCAAGCCTTTGCAGAAAAATGCAACAGGTTCTTCCTGTGACAGCAAATGATCCAAATTCTCCGGTCAAAAGCTTGCATAAAAGATGGGAACAGCCAAAGCTGTTGTGTTGCTCATCACCCTGTGAGACTTCCCACCTCTTAATCTATCGCATGCAGGTCCTCCCAGGTGGTGTCTCCCAAGACCCTAGGTTAAGAACATGCTAGGGAACTTCATGTGCTCCCATGAACGTTAATGCTAGAAGAGGCTGCAGGTAGGTTAATGCTTTGGGGATGACCACTCTCCCTGTGATCCCCTACCCACATGGACATCATTTCTTTTCCAAAGCTGAATCATTTTTGATATAGTCTGATCGCAGGATAGTGGACAGGAGCTGTAAAACACACACAGTTAGCTTAACTTTTGAGAAATTGTCTTTCATGCCTTAAAAAAGAGGGTAGCTTCTGATTCCCAGTGGTGGTGTCAAAAAAAAGAGAAGTGAACCCAAGCTCTGGATGCTCATGGAAATGCTCTTGTGAAGCAACTGGGGAAGGTTAGCCTGAGGAGCTCCGGCCCTCCTGCTCCAGAGAGGGGTCTTGCGGGTAAGGAGTGCCCCAGCCTGCTGCCTTGGGGCCACGTGCCTTTTCGGGCTGGTGTTTTGAGAGAGAAAGCAGTACTGGGAGGTGTGTGGTCAAACTGGAGCTTCGAGGGGCTCCAGGAAAGCCTTGTGTTTGGTCTGCCTGTGGGCTTGCTTTCAGTTTGTATCTCCACGTGGAAACTTTTTTGTTGTAGGTAGTTTCAGGTAGGCTGTAGCTCTGGGTTGGTTTTATGCTCTCCTGTGTCCAAGGCTGGCTTAACCGGAGTTCTTTGTGAAACATCCGGCCTGCAGTGCCGCGGCCGCCCGCTGTCGGGGAGCAGCGCGCCGCTTGAGCGGTACGGGCTGCGTTCCTGCTGGCCTTGGCTGCGCGGCCTGCAACTCCTGTGAGTTTCCTTCTCCCCGGATTATCATGTTGACAGAGGTTTCAAATGACACAATTGCTGTAAAGATGCAACTGTTCCTTGTAATTGCATCAAGTGATATTGCTGAGAGTGCAGCTGGGAGGTGGACAGGCCTGCTGTGGGGGAAGCCCTCTGCGTGACACTGACTTCAGATACTTGGTTCAGTCTTTCCGGAACCAAAGTAATTGCTGTGGATTTGGTGCAGGAAAAATAAACCAAGCCTTGTATTTAGGCAATGTCAAGTGGAAGGGAGTTTGTGTGCAGCCCCCCCCCCCCCCCATCTAGCTGTGTCTCCGTCTGTCCTGTCACGTCGTTCCGCGTTGCACTGACCCATGTCTCCTCTTCCATAAACATGCAGGCGAGCTGGGGTCTGCCGGTGCCTCAGGACTGGAATACAGATAAATCGATCCTGGCGATAATGGAGGAAGGAGCTTTTGCCACGTGGGAATGCGCTTGTGATGCTCTGAGGCAAACCCTTGTCTTGCTGCTCTGCAAGCAGAGCCCTGAGGAGACAGTGGAGCTCTTGAAGCTCTGCTAGCAGATCCCAAATAGAAAGCAAATGTCAGGGCCAGAAGATGTCCTGGGTTTGGAAGACAGTCTGGTCCAGCAGGGTGATGATAGACCTGTTGTGTGGAAAAGGGGTGAAGAGAATAAGGTTGCAGGCTGGCTGCAGTGGAAGGGGTGGGGAGGGGGTAAGCGGACTGTGTGTCGGCTGCAGGTAGCTGTTGAAGGCAGCTTCGGAGGAGCCATCCTGAATGCAGAACAAACGATAGCGCTCTGGGGAGGGCGGCCGGGAAGCCAGCGGTGCTGCGGGAGAAAGGAGGGCAGCCTCAGTGAAGATGAAGAGTGAAAATCGAGGGGGAACCACTTGAATTGATAGCAAATAGCCAGGGTGCGGGAGGGCAGCGAGTGGGGAGAGCGCCTTGTGCTTAAGCTCCTGCAGTGAAAGGCTGATGTGCAATCGCTGACCCCATGACAGCTGCAGGATGGCTGGAGGAGTAGGAAAGGGGATTGCGAAGAATCGGAATAGGAAGATAATGAAGGTGTGACTAAGGGTTGGCAGCAGTTCAGTCAAGATACAGCTGAACTCAAAGCTTCCTGCTGCCAGCGATGGGCACACGAGGGAGATGTTATTGCAAAGGCCCTGAACTGCTGAGGATTCGGTAAAATCTGCAGCCGTGGGAGCAGAGAGGAGCCAGAGGGAGAGGAGAGCCGTGAAACAAAGAATGTATCACCCAGGCTGCAAACGTCATGCTCTGACTCGCTTAGTAGTAAATTTTAGTGTTGTGCTTAAGCCTGGGCGGACATCCCAGATGGGACACGGAGGGCACAGAGAACAGGGTGGATGAGTCACGTATGCCGCGTATGGGGTAGTGGTGTTGGAAGGGGGCTGGGAGCCGGGGGGAGGGCGGGGGCGTCTTTGCTTGAGCCGTGGTTAGAAGGAAGGCCTCAAAATGGTTGTCTTCCCTGGGCAGTGGGGGTAAATCTCTCTCTTCAGCCGCACCGCTTCGGGGAGCGTTGCATGCGCGAGGAGGCCGGGCAGCGTGCCCTGCCAAGGTAGGAGGTACCTGTGTCGGCTCTGTGCGAGCTGCCAGCCAAGATCTGAGAGGTTATCTCCAGCGCTGCGGGGGCTATGCCCCGTGGGGCCCGAGCTGGGACATCTGGGGGGACGCCAGCCCGCCGAGCAGGGCTGGCACCAGCTGTGGGATCTTGGCACGGCGCTCCGGAGTCTGCCCGAGGAGCCGTCCGCGACTGCGCTGGGCTTGGCGAGCGGCACGGAGAGCTCGGCCGCCTGGTTTCAGCGGGACCTCTTTAACTTGCTGGCCGCTCTGGGCTGCGCCCAGGGTGTGCTGCGTGCTTTCTCCAAGGAGCCTGACCTCGGGCCTTCTCGCCGGGCTTGAAGCTAGCGCCTGAGCTGGGCGGGAGGCCGTCCCGGCGGCAGGGGGATGTGGCAGGGCGCTCATTGGGCCTCTCTGACTCTCTTTGCCTTGTGCATATTTTGTATCATTCATACAGGCATGAATAGGGAAGGGAAGTGACTCATTCATTCATGGAATTGTTGCACAAGGTGCACATCTGAATCGCTTAATAGCCCTAGCGCGTTCAGATGCTCGCTGGAGACGGGGGGTGTGAAACCACACAGTGCGGCGGAGGGAGCAGCACGCAGTGGGAACAAGGCAGCTATTTTGAACGCTTGAATCGGAGAGGCTGGAAGTTTAGAGAGTCGGCATGTCCGATTCACTTCTTGTCCGTGGCTAGCTGTGATGAATAGGGAGAGCGCGTCCTGTTGCGCTCTGGTATTTCCCCCGTAAGGACCCTTCAGACTGGGATGTTGGCCCGTGGTTAAGAGACTAGCCAAAGTTGCAAGTAAGTCACCTTTCTAGCGAGGGACTCCTGGGTTCTAGCTAGAAGCATGAGTACTAGAAGTGTACTTGATGGATGCCCTCAAGGGGACTGTAGCCCTGCCAGGAGGCGAGGGAAAACCTGAACTGTTGCAGTCGTTTGTTGTACTCTTTGCTCTGACGAGACTGGGTTTTGCTGGATGCCGTTAATCCTGGGGTCTGAGGGCGTCAAATGAAGTAGTGGTGAGATGCTGCCCTTGGTGGCTTGCTGTTGTATGTGGCAGTGCGCACAAGGGGCTCCTTCTCTTCTGAGCTTCTCTGGGGTTTCCTCGTGGATACCTGTTGCTACCTGCCTTTCTCGCAGGGCTCTCCCCAAAGCTAGACTCGTCTGTCTCAGCATGTGCTTCTCTCCTGGGACCTGGCACTTGAACAGCCAAGTAGGCAGGGAAAGATGAGCTGGTGTGGCCGCTGCTTTGAGCTGGATGAGCATCCTGAGGCCTGGTAAAGCATAATTTTAAAAACGGACAAAGCGAATCTAAATTTCAGATGTGTGGAGCGAAGGGCTCAACTGCAAGGACAGTGCTGCTTGGTGGGAAGAAGATCTTCTGCGGAGGAGCCCTTTGTGGAGATGGGGGGAGCCGAAGAGATTCGCTCTGCTCGGTGCCGTAGGTCCAACCCATCCACATCACAAGAGAAACAATGTTTTGGTGAAGGCGACGGAGCCAGCTGAGAACCAGCTACGCTGGCCTCTGTGGCGAGCCTCCCTCCCAGCCTTGGGAGGGAGCTTGAAGTGTTGGTGAAACCCTGGAGAAGGCTGACGGTTGCTTGGATGACTCAGATGCAGGAAAGTTACTGGGGAACATTGCACCGAGTCTTATAAACCAGCTTTGAAGTCGGGCTGGCAGTCTAGGAGAGAGTGATCTCTATGCAGACCTGGGGCAGGCTGCTTCAGGGCCTGTTTGTGTCGGCTCCTGGGCCAGAGCGGAGGCTACTGAACAAGAAAAGGATCCTTCCTTCACCCTCCCGTCCCTCTGTTAAGGCTTCCTGGTTGTCCACTAAGGTTCAGGAGCACATGAAAAGCAAGCAAAGCAGTGCTGCAGCTAGCCCTGCTCATCTGAGCATGGAAAGCAGACACAACAGGCTACTTCTGCCTAGTGTTTGCTTTCTCAGGAGATGGGCTGGGAGGGAGGGGGAAACCTGTCACTTGTTAGCATTGTTTGCGGCAAAAAGTGCCCCTGCTCAGTGGGAGCTTGGGCTCCTCATTCTGAAAGAGGGCCTTTAGAAAGTATTTCTTTGCTGCTGTGTGAAGTGCGCCGTCATGAACTAACAGGGGGTTTTTTTGATTGAAAAAATTGCTCGGTCCCTGGGCAAGGGGGAGAAACTGCTCCTTGGGAAGGTGCCTGCCGTCACGCGTTATCCGTATGAAGCTGTCCCTCGTGCAGCACGGAAAAGTTCAGTCTTGCTTCACCCCTTGGATCGAGCACGGCTCTCTTCTCGCGGCTATCCTGGACCATGCCGCTATTGCAGGTCTCCTCCGGGGCTCAGGCTGCAACGCGTTTGCCCTTTTACTCTTCAGGGCCTCTGCTGTTGTCCTCGTTTCTTAGAGGAGCTGGGCTGGTTGAAGGGAACCGCTTGACCTTAGCGCCACTGTCCTCATCTTCTCCCCGGGCTTTCGAGAGAGCAGTGCTTTTGTCGGAGCGGTCGTCTTTGTGAGGGATTTGGAAACGGATGACCAAGCAATTCTGAAGTCTGTCCCCCTCCCCGCACCTCCGGTTTGAACAGCTTTTTTGAGCGCCATCCAGCTTTGCAGGGATCGCCTCGATGAAAGAGCAGCTCATTTAGAGGTCTTGCGTGGCCTAGCCTGGTGTAGCCGCGTCAGTGGAAAGCCAACGTGAGAGCAGCGCTCGCTTGGCAATGAGGCGGTTTGTCTGGCTGGGGTGGGGGGCACGTGAGGCCGTTGAAGGAACCAGGGGTAGGTTCAGGTGGGCACCGCTTATCCCTGGGCAGGAGGCGGCCGTCCGAAGCTCGGCACGTCTGCGTTGCCACCAGCACTTGTTCCTGAGCAGAGCTAGAGGAAAAAAGCTACGCTTTTTTTTTTTTTTTGGTGCATTTTGGAGCGCTTGCAAGTGTGAGGCCTTTCCTAAGGAGGAGGGCTGGCTGGCGTAGGAGGCTATGCTAATGTGGCTCTTCTGCTGCAGCAGCTCTCGCGGGGGGGAAAAAGGCTTGTCCAGCGCGCCGCTCGCGAGGATGTCACTGCCTGCGTGTCTCCCGCCTTGAAGCGGTCGCAGCTACTTTCTCTGCTGTGGCTGTGGATTTTACTGCAGGGGATGAGCGAGGGGTGGAGTTTCCCCTCTCTGTTCTGGGATGATGTGAGCGCTGGATTAAGCTTCCCCACATGCGGACGTCGTGCACTGCCAGAGTGACTCTTTTGTTGTTGTTCCCAAATAACTGCTCTGCTTTTTTTGGAACAGAATAACTGTTCTGGGATAAAGTTGCTCATGTTCCAGCGTGGTCTGTATGGAGGCATTTACACCATATTAGCCCTAACGTAATGGTTATTCTGGACTCATCTTGCCCATCTGCGTCCTCCGGTAGTCAAGTGCTGAATAAACAGCAAGCAATGAAGGTGGTTTGGACCTAAAGTGCAACAACCTGTTTGGAAAGGGCAGAGGGAAATCTGGCACTTGTGTGTTTGGCCCCGGCAGCTAATCTTCCCTCTGTGGGTTTTGCCTGAACAGGGGATCCCAGAAGGATGGTACCTCCCGACACGCACCCCATCCCTGAAAAGGCTGGTCAGAATGGCCAGAGGACGCAAACGGTGGCGAAGATGATTTGAAACAGGTTAAACCATGACTTGAAGTTGCCTTCAAATTTAACTTGTGATCCAAATAGTGACCAGCAGAGCTGTATTTGAGTGTCTAAGAGACTTGTGCTAGATGTCGCTTGCCACGGACTCACGTGAAGGCGACGACCGAACATGAGGCTGGGCTCCCTGCGTGGGGACCGCTCTGCTCCTGTCCCGCTGGTGTGAATCCAGCACTGGTCAGCGGCCTGTCCGCAGCGCTGGCCCGCGTCACGCGTGCGGGGGACACGAGCCCGTGCGGGTGGCTGGGAGCAGCGTGGGGAGCAGGCCCTCTGCCCGCGCAGCACCTCAGTTGTGCAGTGGGGCTGGAAAGGATTTGGTGGCCTGACAGAGACCCGCTCGGAGGAGCAGGGACGGCTGCTCTGGGAAGGACGGGGAACTTCTGCCAGCTTTTGCGGGAAGACCTTGCAGGTGCTGAACGTATCCACAAGCCCTGGTGCTGCTCTAGAGGAGGCAGGTGAAGTTCGGTGCCTCTCCAAGCTCTGCAGTAGCACAGAGGAAGGGACTTCGCCCTTCGGAGAGGCCTGTGCGTTGTTTTCTCACAAATCTTGCGGTTTGCACCTGGATTAGCATCTAGAGAGCAGCCTCGGTGCGGGCAGGAGCGGGTAACGGAGCCACGAAGCGAAATCAAACCTTTGAGCGTGTCTGAAGGAGGCTGGAAGCGCATCTCTTGGGGAGAACCCTCCGCGTGCTCGGTTCATGCTGCTGGTATGCAGCAGGGCATGGGACGTGCTCTGTCCTCCCCACCCCTCTGGGAAAACCCCCTTCCTTATTATTTTGTGCTATTAGCGAGTTTTGTATGAGCTTGTTTGGACCCGGCATAGGTCAGAGCTGCAGGCAACGGCATGGTTGCTCACCGCATGTCTGCGACAAGTTGAAGTGCGTCACTGACGAGTCCTGTGCCCGGCTGCCTTGTACCCCCGTGGTTTTGTTTGTGAGCTGACCCGCTCCCGAGAGCGGGCCAGCAGCTCTGTCCTGCTCGTGGCTCCACGTCTGTCCGCCCGCACTCGGATCATGCTCAGTGGAGCTCTGTGTCTCTTTGTCTCCCCTCCAGCTTGCCAACAAAGCACGGACGGAGAAGGAAGAGAAGCTGAGCCAGGCATATGCAATTAGTGCTGGTGTCTCTCTGGAGGGACAGCAGCTCTTCCAGACTATACATAAGACGTAAGTCCTCTTGTAGGTGCAATCAATGGCTTCTGTTCTCTGCCTTGGCCTTTGTGGCCTGTGGTGTTTCTCCCCCATCTCTTCTTTGGGATAACTTGGGAGCTAGAGAGCTCTCTTGGGGGCAGGAGCTCCCAGTAAGTGTATCCATGTCTCTTGACTGGTCTTACTGGTACTCGAGGCTCCTTGCTCCTGCTGGGGTTGCCTGCTGTTATCCTCTCCCCTACCCTGCTGTCCCATACTGGCACCTGGTCTGATCCTGCCCCAGACACTTCCCTTTGGGCTCTTTGTTGCCCAGGATAAAGTGGCTCATATGCCGGTAGCTGGGCTAGAAGGAGCCCTGGCAGGGGCTGCGTTGCCTGGCACCCCTGGACTGCAGCGTAACGCTGCAAACGCTGCTTTGATCGTGTCCCTGGGCAGCGCTGGCCTGAGCCGCGTGGTCTGGTGACGTGCTGGGCAGGTCAAGGCCCACTGCGGGAGGGAGGACGGTTTCTCCGCTGCTGCACGCCCTCCCTTGGCACGTGCTGAACGCGCGCCCGTCCCGGCGGGCTCGCACCTCTCGCTGGCAGAACGGGACGTGCCCGAGAGGTGCCAGGTGGTTTTCGCGCCCTCAGCGAT